CACACGTGCTCTGTGACACACCCTGCACACATGTGCGTTGTGACACACCCTGCACACACATGCTCTGTGACATGCCCGGCAAACACGTGCTCTGCAACACGCCCAGCACACACATGCTCTGCAACACGCCTGGCACACATGTACTCAGTGACAACCCCTGCACACATGTGCTCTGTGACACACCCTGCACACACGTGCTCTATAACACATCCTGCACACACGTGCTCTGTGACACGCCCCGCACACACGTGCTCTGTGACACACCCTGTACACATGTGCGTTGTGACACACCCTGCACACACATGCTCTGTGACATGCCCGGCACACACGTGCTCTGCAACACGCCCAGCACACACATGCTCTGCAACACGCCTGGCACACATGTACTCAGTGACAACCCCTGCACACATGTGCTCTGTGACACACCCCGCACACACGTGCTCTATAACACATCCTGCACACACGTGCTCTGTGACACGCCCCGCACACACGTGCTCTGTGACATGTTCTGCTCCTGAGCGGCCCAGAATGGTGCAGGCCCCGAGGGACCCAAAGGAATAGGCAGGCATCAGTTCCTGATCATGCTGCTGGGAAGGGGAGGCTCCCGTGTGCATGAGCCTGGGGCAGTAGGGGGTGGGAGGGAGCCCCAGCCATCAGCACTGTGCAGAGCGCTCTCCTGGAGAGGGGCAGGGGCTAGCGCCGGCCGTCCATGCAGGGGGAGATAAACCTACCCAGGAGTGCAGGGAGCGGGGGGCGAGGAATGGGGCAGGGGAGCCCTCAGTGTCCCCTCGCCAGCCTCTCTTGGGCACACGCTGCGTTTGCTGGGAGGTGTCGCTGCACGCAGCCCCCTGCAGCCCTGGGCTCGGGCTGGGCGCATAGTGAGGAGCTCCCCAGGGAGCTCCCAGCTTGGGGAAGAGGGACGAATAATTGATTCCATATGGTGCTGCAGGTCTGGGGAATCGGCAAGCTTCCTCCTGAGGGGGGGCAGAAGCCATGGGACGGGGGTTGCAGCTGAGGCCAGGGGCCGAGCCCCGGCAGCGCGCAGGACGGCGGGGAGAGGTGAGGGCTCAGCGCTCCCGGTGACTGTGTTTGCCAGTGGGGGGCGACTGGACAGACAACCGAGCACAGATACCCCAGAGTTTCCGGGAGGTTCCCGGCGCTGGCGAGGGGCATCCCAGGACTCCCCAGGAGTGAGGGGCCAGGGCCTCCATTCCCTGCCCTGCCCTGCCCTGTCGAAATGGCTCCGAAGTGCAGCTCACCGGCAGGTGTGCAGGGCCCAGAGCGGGCAGGGTACCTCCCGCACTCCCTGTCTGCCCAGCTCCCTGTCGCCCTTCTAAATACCCCACCCCCGCTGGATCCCCATAGCGCGGATGGGATGGACCCTGGACCCAGCATCACACCCCTGCAGGGGCCCCCCTCCATTGCTGGGGTGGGGGGCTCTGACCTTTCACCTCCGGCTGGGAGAGGTCGGGCAGACCCTGGCAGGGAGAAACACCAGCACTTGTCAAAACCTGGGGGGGGGGGAGAAAAGCCCCCCCAGCTCCCTGCCCATGGAGTCACCAGCCAGGGCATCCACTAAGGGGCTACGGGTGGTGGGACAGGGGCAGAGAAGGGGGCAAGTGGAAATGAGAGAGGGGAACAGGCAGGAGACCCCCAAGCACTGGGGCTGGGACAGGGAATGAGACAGGTTTCCTGGCCTGGCCTCCCCTCAGTCCCAGAACCTGTATTAGTGTGTGTGTGTGTGTGTAAACACACCTTTATTAGTGCAGGGCGGGGCTATGTACATGCCTGTAGTAGTGTGAGGTCCATGGACATGCCTGTATTAGTGCAAAGGGGGGCACTGTCCATGCCTGTACTTGTGCAGGGGTGTGCATGTCTGTTACATGCTTGTATTCGTGTGGGGGTTGTGCATTCCAGTATTAATGGCTGGGGCGCGTGTACACACTGTATTGTGCAGGGTTGCGTGTGTGTGTACACATCTGTGTCAAAAAGAACAGGAGTACTTGTGGCACCTTAGAGACTAACAAATTTATTAGAGCATAAGCTTTCGTGGACTACAGCCCACTTCTTCGGAGGCATATAGAGTGGAATAAATATTGAGGAGATATATATACACACATACAGAGAGCATGAACAGGTGGGAGTTGTCTTACCAACTCTGAGAGGCCAATTAAGTAAGAGAAAAAAAACTTTTGAAGTGATAATCAAGATAGCTCAGTACAGGGCTTCAAAAGTTTTTTTTCTCTTACTTAATTGGCCTCTCAGAGTTGGTAAGACAACTCCCACCTGTTCATGCTCTCTGTATGTGTGTATATATATCTCCTCAATATTTATTCCACTCTAT